TGACTTGGAGATAATTTCATTGTTCCTTCTTATTCTGTTGGATTCAAAATGACAACCTCTGCTAAACTACCTACAGGACAGATTCACTATGATGGTCGCTGTGTCTTACATTTAATCACAGTAATGAGAATGTCTGCTTCTACTGCTTAGGGGGAAAATTAAAAACCTAAACGGTCTGTCAGGAAAAGCCTAATCAGAATCTTGCTGTGTTTTCCTTCTAACAGACAGAATGAACAAATTCATCAAATAGGTACTGCTTTACCTTTCAATTTATATTTGCTTCTAATCTTATCCACAGTGTTGTAAGAGTATGTCTGGTGAATTAAAAGTAAACGCTGCATCTGGGATGGGAAAGCTAAACAACAAATCTTTAAATATTAGCCAAGAAGTTCTTAAAAGTTTTGCCTGTGAAAATATTTGGGAACGCTGGTCATCCATAATTTATGTGCAGAATAAATGTAAACACAGTAAAACATCCACTGACTGTGCTCAGAGCTTTGTGCCCATTTTAGAGCTGTTTTAAACTCTCTATATTATCTCTTCATCTTTCTGCCTCTCTACCGTTGCTCTGCAGAGTTTCGGGAGCCGCGTGTGATTGAACTGTGGGAGGCTGCAAAGAGGGCAAACCTCAGCAAAGATGAGTTGGAGTCTCTCAAGGTGAGGCTCACAGCAATTTTAGCTGGTTGGGGATGATTCTGTGTCAGTCTGCCTCTAGGAAACAGTTTTATATCAGCACATTTTAACTCAAGAGGTTCAGCTTAGAAACGTATAACTCAAGGGCTCTTTTAGTGGAAGCAGTATCAAATGTATTATTTTGCCCGCCACTTGGTATCGAAGCCAAGATCAGATGGATCACAGGGCCACATTCAGCTGGAGTTTACACCAGCATTTCTGCTTTATTCACTGTTTCAAGTGTTTTTCAGCTGCACCGTGCATGTAATGAGGTTGAACCCGCCTCGTTCGGTTCATAGCCTTCTTTTCTGTGTTCACTCAGGAAGAGCTGCGTCACTTTGAGACCAAGGTGGAGAAGCACAGCCATTACCAGGAGCAGCTGCAGCTGTCTCACCAGAAGCTGCAACATGTCGAGTCTCTGGGTGACAAAGAGCACATCAAGAGGAACCAGGAGAAGTACAACACACTCGCTGAGAAGACAAGGGAGATGGGATACAAGGTAAAAAAAAAAAGGACATTTCATTTAATAAAAGAAGAAAGAAAAAGAGTTACTCTGAAACTCCAGTTAGAGCCTTTGTAACAAAGCAGAAATTTTTTCAAGCCCAAATATGAACTTTTTAAACCTTATATTTAAAACATGCTGATTATTGTATGTTTTAACCAGAAATTAATTATTTACGCTGGGTTCAGTCGGGCTCCTGAAAACTGTTTTATTATTTCTCAAGTCTGGATAAACATTTTTTCTGAAATTCTTAATATTGTTGAATAGAGGCATTGATTTTTTTATTACATATAGCAGCGTTTCAAAGGTAGGCAGTGCCCCCATTAAAGAGCCTTAATGCGAAACAGCGACCGCTCTCACCAGTATCAGGTGAGATCTAAGGTGTTGTCAAACAGCGGCACCGCGTGGAGAGAAGAGAATGCCAAAGGCTGAGGTTTTAAAATCTCAACTTTTCTGTTAAATTACGTTACAGCAACCAATCAGGGACTGGTTGTGGTTGTGACATAGGTTAACGAAGTGCAGCCGATACAAAGCTTTTTCCCACTAAGAATTAAATATAAAGGAAAGTTTCACAAAGCGTGAAATACGGAATGCTCTGAAGAGGCTTTTAGGTGGCTTTTAAAAAAAGCTGTTTTAATTTAGCTGTAGAAGTACTGCTCGTCCACCTGACTTACCTCCAGCACAAACACCAGTCAGCCACTGCCTCTCCCCAGTACTGGTGCTCTCTACCCAGCTAGATACAAGGAAGTATCAATACGGCATCCAGAAGCAGCTCTGCATGAACCAAAGTGGTCTACTTTTTCAAAAATTGATGGTCACCCCAGGCTGATTCAGAAGTTGTGTTCTGAGAACATGTTAGTAGCCGTTTGTTATGTCACTGTTCACCTGTTATTGTTTGTGAACTGCAGATTGTTTTCCATGGTGAAAACGTGTTCATCTGAAATGCAAAGCAGTGAGCTCCCCGTTCTGCTTGCAGAAATCACTGCAGACAGGTTTGGTGTGGCATGGCTTTATGTTTTGGTTGCTCTTTGATTTCAGAAACAAAACAATGCTGTAGTACGCTTCACATTGAGCTGTATGGCATAAGGCTCTGGTTTAATCTAAATATTACTCTCTAGGTAAATTCCATCTGTAACAGCCTGTTTCCATTTGAAATAGCATTAGCAAATTTAGATTATTTAAAGTACAATATTCAGATTTAACAAAGTAGATCCAGGCCAAGTCTTATGGGGTTTTCGCTCAAATTTAGAACTATGTAAGACGTTCTTGTATTCTCTATTTAATTTTAGTCCCTAAAGTGTTTTTTGGTCACAATTATGATGTGGATTCGTTTAACTAATCAATATTTTTTCAAAGCATACATTTGTGTTTCATCTTAATCTTTTTAGCCATAGGGGTTGAATGAATAAATAAGAAATGAAAACATTTACCAAACTTATCTCCATCTGAAAAACTAAAAAAAGGGAAAACTCCAAACATTTCTCTAGTCTCAAGTCTGCATTGAAACCCTGCCTTTGTGCCCCCAAAGTCATAGAATCTGATCTCTGTGGTCTGAACCAACAAACCATCCAACCTTTTAAATGAAGATAGTTTCTGTGATCCAGGCTCCTGTATTCTGCAGGAACTGAGCACTACACACATTGTGGTTAAACACTTGAGTAGCCTGCGATTAAAACACACATACATGATTTTTTTACATCTAATTTTCATTAGTATCAATTAACGTTTTCACCAATTAGGGATTTAACTTGTTACATGATATAAAATGAACCAATTTTTAGCAGCATCAGCCCAGCATCCATCTTACCACTAGAGACACCATCAGTTGCCCGGGTTACCGGTCGGTAGTAAAAATGAAAAAGGTTGATCAATGTGGCTCTTTTTTATGCTTTTTGAATAATTGTTTTTTCTTAAATTAGAGTTTTTATGGGCTTAACATCATGTTATTCTTTGATCTGTTGACTGCTTTAAAAGATTTTCTACTTTCAACCATTAACTTGTTTTAAGATGATTTATAAAGGCAGCAGTTGGACTTATTTTGCCACCAAAGGAGGCGCCTCCTGCTGGATGTTATGAGTAAAGCAGGCTAAGACTACCCACTGAGATCTCTCTTTTGTACTCGTACTCTGCTCCATTTGGGGGAAAAGAAAGAGCCAGTGGGTGAAATTCCATTATGTTGTATTTCACATTGTTCTGCTTCATGCTGTACTGATTAGATGATCATCTGAACCCAAACGCTGTAATTACAAGTGGGGCTTACGCTGCTTTCCATTTACTTTAGAGCCAGGAAGTCAGAGTGACATAATCTCCTAGGTGATGGCATCCCCCACTTCACTGCTTGTGTAAAGTTCAAAAACAATACATGGAGGCCCACAATCTGCATTACTTAAAGCTGGTCCCTACAGCCACTGTTACAATAACTAAAATGCTACCCCATGTGTTACAATATTTGTTCATATAACAATTAAAAAAATAGCACAAATAGGAATTAGTGGTTGAAATAGTGCTGTACTAAACTGTGCAGGTCTGCAGCCAGACCCCTCTCAGAACGTTTACTTCTGCTGATAGGTGTAGCAGCCATCTTGAATGTGGAAGGTGGGTTTGTCTGTGCTGGTCAGGCTTTTGGTGCATAATTTCCACTTTCTAGGGTTTTCCAGGTCAGAAAGTAACTCAGAAACTCTTTCTACATAAAAACATTGGTACAATTTTTGTGCAACAATAAATGTGGACATGATCTCTTTGCTCTGATGGCTGAAAACCTTTTTGTTATTTAGAGCTTTAGTCAGTTCCAGAGAAAATGTTTAAAATTACATTTTTTTTAATCATTAAACATAATGTCAATTTGCTGAGTAAAACCAGGGGAATAAAACAATCTCAATTGGTCTCGTACCCTCTATCTATATATCATTCTGTTGTAACACAGTAGAAACTAAAGTGATATTTAAGGTCCCTGTAAATCTCAGTGCTGCAGGGATAAAACTCTCTCACTAACCCGTGCCTGTCTCTTTGTGATTTCAGATGAAGAAACACCTGCAGGACTTGTCCAATAAGATTTCGCGTCAGGGTCTGCAGCACAACGAGCTGTGAGGGACCTGAAGGCTCATAAAAGAGCAGTTGAACCTAAAACAGCCTGTTTGAACTGTGGAAAGACATTCCTCTCAACTACTGAAGAAAAAAAAACATGCACAGGTTCCTATTTTTTATGAGTAAATGAATGAATCATTTTACACAGTTTGCAAATCAGATTCACATTCTTTGTTCAACTAAGTGATCAAATAAAACAAGTTACTAATGGAAAACAATCATACCAATAGAATCTATTGTGATTAGTAAGATAAAATAAGTAATGCAAAAAAGCAATTTTAGCACTTAGGGCCACATTATACTTGTTATTCAGTAGAATATTTCTATTCACATTTTGCTACCATCACTGGCACTCATTATAAGATGGTCTACTGAAATAATGGATTTGATTAACAAGATGTAAATAAAAGAAAACAAGGGGTTAATACAAGAACATAAAGTCCCAACATTTAATTTTCATAAATATAGAAGCCAGCAGTACACATAGATGAGGTCCTAAACATATTTAATGTATGTGAAGAACTGTTTTTTTTTTGTTTTTGATAAAGTTAATTTGTTATTTACATGTATTACAGTAAAAAAAAAAAAAACATTTAACAGGATATAATTGGTATAGTGTTACATTTTCATGACTTGTTTTCTTGTCTTCTCTTCCTCAGAGACATTAGGTAGAAAACTGAAGCTGTAAAATATTAAATAGCTTAAAGTTTGTCTAATGATGTTTGAAATTTGAGAAGCTGCACCTCAAATTGTCCTTTTCCATCATTGGTGCTTTCCCTCAGAGAGCCGCTGCAGCAGAAGCATTGATTTCTAAGATGAATAATGTCAGCGGCCGGCTGATAACTCGGCTATGTGTCCTGCTCAGCCCACACGGGCTCAGATTAATGTCATTTGCAATGGAGATCCAACTCTAAGCCGCTTATTTCAACAGAGCGCTTTGCTGCTTTGATGTGGAATGATAGCTCTATGAGATGGGACTATTACACTCAACTGTTGGTTTAACTAAACATAGGGGTGTTGATCTCATTGTGAGATCACATCTTGCTACAAACCCAAACAATGGCTGTTTGTAAATGTCTAAATCATTTCCAAATAGCTGTTTGTTGTCTAAATCAACCATGACTTTGGTGCCATTCCTTCCTAATTAAGTCAGATTTTACTGAAGCACCAGTCATGTAAAAACACAGTTATAAGTGCATTCTGTCCAAGACAAACACTAATTCATAAACAAATTACATTTAACAAGATAGCAGCAGCATAAAGACGACCCACACACTATCATACTTGCAGTGGAATGGATTGCTTGTGGAAATGACAGCACGCTGGAGAACCTGTGGGTGTGCTTGATTACAGCAGAGGTTCAAATGGCCGATTGCAGGCAGCTTTTCCTGCTCATTCGGAGGAGGGGACGGGAGGGAAGCTGCAGTAGGAAACTGCTCTGAAGTGCTTTTGGAGTTTGGCGTGGCAGAGTCAGCTTGGTGGCCCCCGCCACCTGCTCTCCAGCTGAGTCAGCCTGTCCTCTCTGCCCTGAACATGCTCCACCCCCACACTTTGAGCCGTTTCCATGGGAGCAACGTCGAGGTGGGCGTACCTGATGGAGTCATCCTCTGATTGGGGGGGAAGAGTATTTCGGGCGTTAATTCACATCATGGTTTAACAACATTTTTTAGCCACATTATTTCTGATGAATTACTCTTCACCTCTGTTCTGGTAACTATGAGATACATTTTTCCATTTATGCATTGATTTTTTTTTTTTTATGTTTTATTCCCAAACATTAAAATATTTGGTTGGAAATGTAATTTTTTTTTTTTTACATTTTTAAATTGCCTCATTTTCACTTTTGTTATTAAACAGTATTAAATATCTTTGTTTGTGTCCTGCTTATTTTGTGTTTTATCTCCCTTGCAGAGTAATATTTAAGCGATAATTTAACCCTTTATATCAACAAACTAATGTACACAGTGTGAATCATCTAGTCATATATAAAAGATTTAGAAAATAATCAGAGTTTACAATATGGATGGAAAATAGCTGCCGAGTTGCTCGCTCTGTTTGACTGAACCTGACATTTTCAAACAAATCAATAAACAAATAACCTTCACATGCTGTATTGCTGTACAAGAGAAGATAGGGGAGGAAAAATGTGCTTCCAGGAACTGGAAAAAGCAACTGATGTAAAGCATTGGTCTTGTTTTTGTTCTTACTGTGTCTGTAGAGCTGCAGGACGTCATGTCTCTCAGCTTCGTATGGACCAGACTGATGAGGGGAGCTGTGTAGCTTCAGCTCTTTGGTCGTGTGTTCAAGGGCAGAGTTAGGGATTCTAACGTAGTTATAACTATAGTCTGTGTGAAGGTCAGAGGATGGAGACCGATGACATTCTTGAACAGATGGGATGAAAGCTGAAGGGAAGGTATATATCAAAGGTTAATGTTTGAGTATTTTCCATTAATTCATTGTTATCTATGATCAGGCTGTACAGTAATTAGACCAGGAGGAAAGATCTTAGCTCAGTGACAATCTTCTCCTAAGCCGTCCTCTCCAACCTATTCCAGGAGATGTGAAGGTTTATCCTGACTTTAAGGGAGATCTCATTGCAGAGTTCAACCAGCACTGGACAAATGGAACTTTGCGCAAACACAGCTTTTCCTTTTTGTCAACAAGTACTAGAAAGCCTTTAAAATAAAGCACCCTACACTCCTACAACACTCCCACAAAATACATCAGGGGACATGTTCATAAACCTCCAGATCTATAAAGGTAGTGGGACAATTTGTTTCAGAAAACTGACAAAACCAAGGCTCTATCCTGATGCTTCAAATTGTAGCTCCTAACTCCTATCATTTCACCTTTAGGGTCAACAGTAAGAGATCTATCCTGGGTAAGAAAGGAACTTTGGACTGCTCTGCTGAATCTGGACACCGTTTAACATTATGGACATCATTACCCATGAATTCAGTGGTCAAATTTGGGGCACACTGTAGCTAACAGCTAAAGTTTTCCTTTATAAAACCCAGAACATAAGAAGGTGTGTAAATCATGAAGTAATCTTTTATTTCTGTTCATCAGAGGGGCTGTGTCTATACTTCCTGTCATGGAAAGGGTTAAGGGCAACCATACAGCTGGGAACGTCAGGAGATCCCTATGCTTGATTATTGGTACTAGGAAGCATCCTGCTTCCTTCTAGCTCCTTCCTTACTAGATAGAACTTATTGTGGAGGCCAGTGATGCACTTTCCCCATGGCTTTAGTGTCTTTACTCATTTGAGGTATTCAGATGGAGTCCATTACTTTTATTGAACCAAAGATGATTATAACTTACCAAATGCTGACGATGTTCTGAGAGAACCCAGCGTTAGAGGAGGAGGCGGAGGGGGAACTGAGGGTGGTGAACAAGACAGCATCCTTCTCTGATCTTTGAGTTTAACAACATCCTCACTATCCCAGAGTTTCTCTTTTGTACAGGAGTCTGTCAAGAGAATATTTTATCACATTAGAAAATGTCAAAATAAAAAACAAAAATAGCTCTTCTTTTCTATTCCAGGTTCAAATGTTATTGTTTGTGAAGAAATCCAAAAACATGAAAAATTCTATTCAAATAAAAAACAGATTTTAATGAATTATTATTGAACTGTCTAAATATAATAAACAAATTAAAAAAGGTTTGTACCTTGTGTTTTTATAGAAAAGGAAGGAGAAAGATCTGTTAATGAAGAGCCGTTACCCTAGATATGAGACAAAGAGAAAAACTTTATTGTAACATGTGCTTTTAAGTTCTTTTTGCTGTGAATAGGGAAAAAGATGAAATCACATTTTTACAAATAAATACCTCAAAAGTTTAAAGTACATTTGTATTAAGTCCTCTTTATTCTGGAACAATAACCCCATTTAACCAGCTACAGTCAGTTAAAAACAAATTTCAACATATTTAACTTACATGGTACATAATAAACCATCACAAAGTAAGTCTGGGTTGTTTTTTTTGGAAAAAAAATAGTGCATAATTTCCAAAATATAATCAATAAATTGAAAAGTTTGGTGTTGATGTGTGTTTAACCCCTTTGCTCTGTTACCCTTAAATCCAGAGAAGCTAAAAATCTTCTGAAGTAATCTAATCAGTAAAAAAAAAGTCCAAATGGGTGTAAACCCAAAGATCTTTTGGGAAAATAAGTTGTATTAGGATTGGTTCATGCATGTCTGAGTAATCTTACTGAATCCTGCCCACAGAGCAGCAGCTGCCTCCAGGAAGCAGCTACCTGGACTTTCCTAAATCTGCCATGTGAACAAACTATAATTTCTCTCAGATCAGAAACAGTGATGTGAGGTAGAATGCAATTATTTAAGTTCAAAGCTCTTCTTGCAGCTAACCTGCACACTGACAGCAACTGTTCCTTTTTTCAGCAAATGCCTAATTACTAAAACAGTTTTTTGGCTGTGAGAGTTATAGGATTTTGTTCAGCTTTTTTAAAGATGAGCCTAATCTCAAAAGTTGTATGATACAGCAATGTCATACAAAAGGTGGCACACACAGGGAAAGGCAGCATCACACTGAAAGAAAGTGTCTTCTAGTTGAAAGAAAACAGCTAATTCATAACTTACTGAAACAAAAATATCAATCCAATCTGGTGGGAATTAATGAGAAATGTAGCCAAGAAGCAGGAGGGTGACACTGGGGGAGTTCCACAGGTAAGGTAAGAAAGGTAAGAAAATCTGTTTTCATTTGTGTACTTCACACATTTGCTCGTAATGCAGAAGTATCGAGAATTATTTTTGACGCAAATAGTCTAGGATACGCAGCAAACACTTTGAAAAAGATGCTCCAGAAACGAAAAGAAAATTTTAAAAGCTAATATAAAAAGCTTCAGCAGATTCTCCAATCACCGACGACGAAACATGGAGATGACAGCATCATACAGCTGGGATTGGGAGTTTGGAAAAAGCCAAAACAGAACCTATGTTTTAGTATAAAACAATTATTTTTGAATAAATTAATCAATGTTCAAAACTAAATGTTCAACCCATCCCACTTTGAGGTAAATTAAGTCTCTAGAAGAGGAAAAATAATATAGACCCTGAACATATATTTCAAGTGAGAACTCTTCAAATTATTGTCCTAAAGCAGGGAACTTTTTAGAATTATATTAGTTAAAAAAAAAAAAAAACTGTCAGTAACGAAACCATTTACTTGGATACTGTATATTTATTTGTATGTACTTATTTTGTCCATAGGTATGGTGGTATTCAGAAGCTCTGAGTAAAGCCAGTAAAATAAAGTCTTTCATCATAATTTAGGGAGATTTCCTACAGTACTGCAGTATATTTTCCCCAGTGTTTGATTCTATGGTGTAATTTAGTGATATAAAACATAAGGCACCAACTAGGAAGGCAACAGCTGTAGTTGAAGCACTAAATCCTTTCTTTTTTCGCTCTTTGTCTCATACTTAGTTTACTGGGACTATCAGAGGGAGAGATCAGCTGTAGACAAAGGGGCTTCAGAATGAATTAATAGGGGCTAGAAGTGAGGAGGAGGAGGAAAAGGGCAGAAGGTGAAGACAAGAGGATGCTGCAGACTTGAAAAGCAGCACTGACGGCTTTAGAGGTGGCAGACATGAGACAAAAGGGTGGCGAGCTTCTCCTGGACAACTGTCTGACAGCGAGCCAATTTCATCCTTTTGTCCTCCCACAATCACAATAAGAAAACCAGCCAGGTCTTCAACCAAATCATGCGTCACGTAGTTTATCTATACAGACATGACAGTGCTCATGGAGTCACACACAGGTTTCTTTTATTCAATTAAAGTGCTGAAACTTGAGGATTGTAAAATAAAGAAAATTAATTACTGTTTCATCCAGCAGGACTTTCTGTTGGTTTCATCACCGCTCGTTTGCTCCATCAGTCACCTTTTGTTTCCTCACACACATTCTGCTTAACCAACACAAACGCTCGCTGATATACATGGTAAAATAAAAAAAATAAAAAAAGGTTAAAAACTTGTTTTGCTTTGATCATTTTTTTAATACAGACAAAAGGATGTGTCTGTTCACAAACCCAGTGGAAAATTAATTAGACAGCGCAGGGACGTCTTCTGGGGACTTTTCAGGTTTTAGACAAAAGTATCAAAGGGAAAAGAAAACTGGGCCTGCAGGCAGGATGATGATGGGCACATATAATGATAACTGGCCTCTTACTTCTATGCTTCTGCAGTGTTACTGCAAAGCACACAAAAGAGCTGGCTTTGTTTTACTGTCACCTCAGTTCGGTGTTTGAATCTCCTCAGCATGCCTCCCTATCCTGTGGTTCTCTGACCAAAGACATCCAAAGTCATTTTGACCAGACAGCTACATGCCCAAACTTTTGGTAGTAAGAGAATAAACCGATTCATTGCTGAAGACGATTCGGAAACATCTAACATGACCAGGGTCTCTGTGTGTATTTCACATCAATATTTTAGGAAGATGGATGGATGGATGGATGGATGGATGGATGGATGGATGGATGGATGGATGGATGGATGGATGGATGGATGG